CTGAGTTCAGGATAGACTGGAGTGGGGATAGCATTTGTTTGGGTAGGCCAGTGAGAAGGGAGTTGCAGTAGTCCAGGCGTGAGATAATGAGGGAGTGTACTTTGTAGAGAAGAGAAGACTGTAAATAGACAAGTACAACTTAGGTCGGAGGATTTGTTTCATCTCTGTGTATACCCTGAGGTTAGTCATTTCACTGATTTTATGTAAGGGTTTACAACCACTTTAAAGCTGGTTATCAGTACTTGCCCGTGTTTTTGGCACCTCATTTGAGACAGACATGCTGTTCATCACCATTAGTAACATTGGGGCCTTTCCTTTAATTATAGATTCCTTTTAAAAACATGTCCATGCTATTATTCAGTATTTGTGAGCATATGTTAAGCCCCTTTTTTATGCAATTTTTGGAATACCATGAGGCAGTGCTACAATCCTGATGTGGTGCTTTGAGTATCCAGCCCCTGTTGTCATGAACTCAGCACCTTACTCATAAGCTCGATATGATATCTACAGATTACTTAAGGGTTTATTTTTATAGAACTACCTTGCAGGGGTGAACCGCGGCGGTGCAGTCAGGGGATACAAATAGAATTATGACTTGTTAAAATCATTAACACTATTTTTAGCGATAAATTAAACACGGCAGAGTTGTATAAATAAGGGCTTCCTTTTCAGATTGCATTTAAATCAGAAGCTGCAGGAATTTCCTGCCAAAAGAAAAACAAATGCCTGTACCTGGCATACATGAGTTGTATGGGAAAGAAACATTGCAAATAGTTGCAGATTGGGTTTACATGTTAGTATTAATATCAGCAAAGTGTACTTAGGATACAGAGAGACTGGGGTGCTGGACTTGAAAATGTGAGTTGTCTTGCAGTCATTCTGATTTGGTGATTTCAGCACATCTGGAGTCTGTGACAAATTTGCAGATTAGGTGGACCAAGCTTTCTCTGGCTTTCTTCACCTTATGGCTAGTATTAAATCAGAGTCAGCCAGGCAGCTAGCATTTTCAGAAGGTCAATATTGACAGCCTCTGTATTTCGGTTTATTTTAAGGAAACTTAAAAGGATAGTTATATTGTGGTCCCTCTCTGAGAACACAAGAAAAAGCATTTAAAAGAATACAGCTACAGTCATGGCTAAAAATATTAGCACCCCTGCCTTTCTGTCAGATAATGCACCACTTCGCCCAGAAAATTGTTCCAGTTACAAATGTTTAGGTATTCTTCTGTTTATTTCTTTTGTTTCTATTGATATGACACAAAAAAGTGGAGAAACAAAAAGCCAAATCTGACACATTCCACACAAAATGCTAAAAATGGGCTGGACAATTTTTTTGGCACCCTCAATTTAATATTTGTTACCCCTGGAAAAAAGAACTGAAATCAATCACTGCCTGTAGCCATCAATGAGTTTCTTACACCTATCTGCTGGAATTTTGGAGCACTCTTCTTTCCCCAACTGTTCCAGATCTCTCAGATTGGAAGGGTTCCATTTCCCAACTGCTGTTTTGAGATCTCTCGCCAGTTCAGTTCTCTCCAGCACTTTGTTGGAAATGATTTCTGGGTGCTTTGTGACATGTGCTTTGGGTCTGTGTCCTGCTGTAAGGCTCATGACCTCTGACAGAGACCCATCTTTCTGACACTGGGCCCTACATCAGAATTCTGCACCCCAGAATTCTTTGGTAGTCTTTAGATTTCATAATGCCATGCACACAGTCAAGACATTCATTGCCTGAAGCAGCAAAGCAACCCCAAAACATCAGTGAACCTCCAACTCCACCATGTTTGATTGTATTCTTTTCTTTAAAGGCCTCATTTCTTTTTTTGAAAACAGTAGAATGATGGGCTTTACCAAAAAAGTGTAACTTTGTTTCTTCTGTCCATAGCACATTCTCCGAAAAGGTTTTTGGCTTTCTCAGGTACATTTTGCAAATTCCAGTGTGGCTTGTTTATATTTCTGTGTCAGCAGTGGAGTTCTCCTGGGTCTCCTTCCATAGCGTCCCTTTCCATTCAGATGGCAATGTATAGTGCGAGCTGACACAGTTGTACCCGATGCCTGACGGTCAGCTTGAATTAGTCTGGAAGTTGATCGAGGTTCATTATCCACCATTCAAACAATCCTTCATTGCAATCTTTAATCAATTGTTCTCTTTCGCCCATGTCTAGGGAGATTGGCTACAGTGCCATGGGCTGTAAACGTCTTGACAATGTTGCGAACAGTGGACACAGGAACATTTAGATGGACTTGTAACCTTGAGATTGCCCATGCTTTTCCATAATTTTGTTCTCAAATCCTCAGACAATTCTTTCTCTTCTCCATGCTGCATGTACCACACAGAGACACACAACAGAAAGGTGGAGTAAATTTTTCACCATTGTAACTAGTTGCTGAAGTGGATTTCTATATTGTTGGACCTGTTAATTGATATAGGTGAGTTTAATTACAAAATACAGGCGCATCACAAATTTGGAATGCAATTATTTCTTACAATTTTGAGAAGG